CGAGGACGAGGAGGAGGAGGAGGAACACGGTTTCGCCCGCAGCACTAAGCATACATGCGAGGGCATCCTTGTGATCGGTGATCGGTCCTCTACTTGTCTTTGATGCACACGTGTGAGTGAGGATTCTCGAGATGGGGGAGGGCGGTAAGGTTATACAGCCTTTTCGGGCAGCCTGTATGGCCAATGCTCCCGCCCTTTATCGGCACCTTTGTTTTTCTTCGACTCCCTGCCTTTCATGTTCTGTTCGGCCCATGCATTTGCTACTGTTCTTGCTCGTTGTCGCTATTGTTTGCGACTGTTCGTTCTGAGGTGGTCATTTCGGCATGCGTGAAGGATTAAGCTGCGGCCGATCGGCCAGAGTCACTGTAGCGCAACAAAAACCAGAGCAGCAGAAGCAGTAGGAGGAAACGTGATGGAGAAGCGGGAGGTCGAGCAGGAGGGAGGAGGGATGGGGGTGGTGGACGGGGGAGGAGGGAGGAAGGTGGAGGCGAGTGGAGGTTGGGCGGAGGGATGAGGACGAGGGGAGAAGGGAGGCGAGAGCAGAGGAGAGAGAAGAGCAGGAGGAGGAGGAGGCGGAGGAGGAGGAGGAGGACCCTCCCCGCTCCAACTTGTGGTGGTGGTGGTGGTGGTGGACAACAGGCCCATCAACACCAGTCCGCACAGACTGCGGGTGCCCGCCGAGGCATCGGCCAGCGCTGCCAGGAGTGGTGGGGATGTCGCGGTCGGCGCTTCGGGGGGGACGCGTCGATGTCGGCCAGATTTGGGGCTCTAGATCCGGGCCTCCTCGAGTCATGGAAAGGTCACGACGGGATGCTTTTCGCTAGTTTCAGCTCCTGGGGGCCCTCACCAGGCCTCGGGACCGTCAACGACGTAGAATGATCAACTGGTCCGGCCCTGGGTCATGGGTCGAGATTTCTGGGGGTCGAAGTCATGAAAAAGTCATGATCGGCACCACCCGAACATACAACATACTTATCCTGCTTGCGCGTCGGCCACGCAGCGGCGACGCGCGTGCTCGGAGATCTGATGGCAGCTCCGTGGCGGGCGCTTTCTGGCCGTTCGGCCACACTGCTTGCACTTAGGGTTTCTTGCTTGTGGTCTAAGGATCTGGGCCGGTCTGGCGGTCCGGCGGCTGTGTCGTCGCCGTCGCCTCTCCGTCGCCGCCTTGTCGCGGCCCATCGTCTGGGCCTGTCTGGCGGTCTGGCGGCTATGTCGTCGCCGTCGTCGTCCCGTCGCTGCCTCGTCGCCGCCCACCGTCTGGTTCTGTCTGGCAGTCTGGCGGCTATGTCGTCACCTGCGCCGCCCCGTCGCCGTCTCGCATAGATTGCACCCAGTAGATTGTACCGCATAGATTGCACAACATAGGTTGCACCGCGTAGATTGCACAACGTAAATCGTTCCACATAGATTGCACCACGTAAGTTGCACAACATAGGTCCCTTCACAGATATTGCACCGCAGAGATTGCACAACCCAGATCGGACCACGTAAATTGCACTGTATAAATTGCACACACACACATTGATTGCACCACATAGATTGTTCCACGTAGATTGCACCACATAAATGTCACCTCACAGATAACACCACATGCAGTGCAAAACATAGATCGCACAACGTAGATTGCACAACATAGGTCGCACCTCAATTATGCCACCACACCGTTTGCACCACATCTATTGCTCCACAACATAGATTGCACCTCATATGCTGCACCACATGTCTTGCACACTACCGGTCGCACGACACAGATTGCACAACATAGGTTGCACGACATAGATCGTACCACGCAGACTGCACCACCTAGACTGCACCGCGTTGCTTGCGCCACCTTGACTGCGCCACACCTACTGCTGGAAGCGCACTGTTTGGGGTCGCCGCTTGCTGACTTACTGTAAGACATTGTGTACCACACGTTGAGCTCGGACGTGCGCACCCAATGGGGGCGCCTAGTACTACACTCCAGGCGATGCTTAAGAACACCCAAGTTTTCGGCCAGAGTCTCGCTTATTCTTAATGTTTCAATGTAAAGCCTAACATTTGAATAGACATTCTGGGTCTGATTTCGAATTCTGAGACTATGAATTTCTCAACCCATGATTTCTAAAGCATTTCGCAGGGTGTAGCATGCTCTGCTGCGTCCCACATGACGTCGGGAGTCTGGGGGGGGCCCAGCACTGTCGTGTACGCCTTCGCCTTCCCCGAGCGGCGGCGGCGGCGAGCACCTCTTCCTGCGGTCTGGTGGGCAGGTGCAGGGGGGGTTCCTGCACGATCGGCGCGTGAGTCCGTGAACGATCTCCAGAGTGCAGGAGGCAGATCGGCCAAGAGTCCGGCCTGCCTGCACGTGCCCTTCGCGCAATGTTTTGTGTATCTTCTCATGGCCCCAGGATCCCACACATTACATCGATCACTTCTTGGAATCGTAGCGATCGACGACACATGTAACCCTTGATTTCTCATGCCAGGACTTCTGACCGTATGTGTATCCACTGCACGCGCCGATGATCCAAACTCCGCTGGCCCTGCCCTTCTTGTCCGAGCTCGGGCCCGTACAGACGGGCCGCTGAAGAAGGAACCCTTGTCGTTGGGGAGGGGCTCAGAGCTCCGTAATGGTTTCACGGTTCGTCTTAGGTTGTTTGGGGCGTTCTGTTGGAAATCGAGGTCTAATTGATTTGATGGAAGTTCTGAGATCTCTTCGATTGTATTATTCGCCAAACGCTTTCTGCAATGCTCGCTCGTGTCAGGCTTTCCCGCGCTTGGAGCCCTGACGTTGAAATCCTTCAGCGGCGAGCCGGGGGGGGAGGTGAGAATGGGCGGCCCTTCTCAGAAGGCTCGGAAGTCCCCCGGCCTTCTAAGCCCTTTCCCGGGGACGCAGAACACCTCTCGGAAGGCCGAAGGCCTTCTGAGAAGCCCCACCGCCTTCTGAGAAGGCCCTCTCCCTGTCGTTGCCCCCCCCCTCGCTCGCCGCCGAGTCCCGTTGAATTTGGGTGTCTCCTCCGTTCTCGCGCCGTTTCGCTGCGCGTGCCCACCGCCAGCCGTCCTCCTGGATCGGGAGACTCTCCATGGGGGGGGGATCCCATGGGGGGGCAGGAGGGGCTCCCCCCCCCATGGGATCCCCTCCTGCCCCCCCATCGGATCCCCAGGGGATCCTATATGGGATCCCCCCCCCCTGGGATCCTGTCCCCCCATGGGATCCCCCCCCCATGAAGAGTCTCCCGATGGGATGGTCCTGCTCGGCTCCTCTGGTGTCCCGGGCTCTCCCCCCCGCCGCCTGCGGCGCGAGCCCCGCCGCCGTGCCAGCGCGGCGTCGAGCTGCATGCGGGCCGGTTCCGCCAAGCTCTCCCTCCTCCTCCTCCTCCTCCTCCTCCTCCTCCTCCTCCTCCCTCCTCCTCCTCCTCCTCCTCCTCCTCCTCCTCCTCCGATGGCTCGGTCGAGCCATCCTCGGGGCCGCCTGGGGAGCGCAGCGCTGCGACGCCGTGAGGCGGCGCCGCTGACATGGTGCACGACCGCCCCGTTCGCCGCCTGCTGGGGACTGCTCAGACTGGACTGTTTGGAAGCTCAGGTTGAGGTTCGTGGGCAGATCTTGGGGCCCTCTCGGGGGCTCGTGGTGGGCTTCCGGAGAGCGTGTCGGGGGCTCGTTGGGGAACTTGGCGTCCTCTTGGGCTCTTGGGCGCGATGGTTCGACCGAGCTCTTCCGGCTTATTAGAATCGTCTTGGGCCGTGTTCTCTCGGGCATCTTGAGCTGCCTCTGCCGTGCTGCTGCTGTACCGGGGGCGTCCGGGGAGCTTCTTAGCGCCCGCTGAGGCCGTCTGGGGGCTCCCTGAAGCGTTTGATGTGCTCACGGTTGACAGAGAAGCAAGACGAGCTGGAAGCAACACACGCAACCACACGCCATGCACACACACACACACACACACACACACACACACACACACACACACACACACACACACACACACACACACACACACACACACACACACACACACACACACACACACACACACACACACACACACACACACACACACACACACACACACACACACACACACACACACACACACACACACACACACACACACACACACACACACACACACACACACACACACACACACACACACACACACACACACACTTTCGCGCACGCACACTCGCACAGCACACCCCAGTGCTTCGCGATGCTGGAGGCACTCCTGCCAGGGCCCTGCCGAGAGACTTCTCGGGCCTTGCCTGGGCTCGCCGTGGCGTGCCGGGGGCCTCCAGGGGCTCCCGCGGGGCACCGTGCGGGCGTGTTGGGCCCGTGCGCAGGGCACCTCGCCGCTTGTCCGGCGGCGGCCTCGCGCCTCTCGGGGCCGTCCTTGGGGCCAGGGAGGTCGCTGGGGAGCGTGCTCTCCTCCTCTCAGGAGGGGAACATTTCGATGCTCGTGTTGGGGACCTTCCTGGGGCCCACCTAATGGATCTGTTCGACTCAGGTTCGACTCAGGTTCGACTCATGTTCGACTCAGGTTCGACTCAGATTCGACTCAGATTCGACTCAGGATCGACTCAGGTTCGACTCAGGTTCGACTCAGGTTCGACTCAGGTTCGACGCACGAGTGGAGCGAGTGGCTCCAGGAAGGTCCCCAGAATGAGCGTCTAAGAAAAAACACGCAGACACAATTAATCGTCGATCCCCAGGAACGTATGGGGAAAGATGGGAAGTGGGGGGGGGAAGACAGGAACCCAGGAAATATAGGGAAAGTATGGGGACTCCTTTTATTTGTGTGTGTATCTATTTGCGTGTCCTGGGGCCCCTTCATCCTCGACCTAACCACACGTATGCGAGTGGGGCGGGTCACCTGACGGAAACTTTGGAGGTTTTACCATGCATTGCCAGACAGCCAAGAGGCATACTACGAAGCACCAGCGTGCCGATGGCATGGTGGCGGATCACTGCCGACATCCTCACGCGTCGGTTGTGAGCATCCCACAGCGCCCGAACCCTTGAGTCCAAGGAGCCTTTCGTGCCGGAGCAGCGGGGGCTGGTGATGTCGCAAGCAGCGTCGACCACGACGACAGGGCGGGCCGGGGAGATGAGGCAGGACCGAGAGACACATGCTTGACATGTCGGGGGGAAGTGGGCAGCGCTTCGTCGGATGCACGTATGGTTCAGCGCTGTTACGTCGCTGGGATGTCTCTGCTTAGTGCCACGAGGGGGATACGGAGGATGCGTGAGGGAATGCATGCGGTATGGTCAGTTTCAGGAGTAGTCGGAGACTAGGCATGGATAGTCGGAGAGGTATAACGATCGGAGGGGTAGAGGCATTATGGTGAGGATGCGTAAGGAGGTAATGTATGCGAGGCATGGCGAAGATGAAGAAGGTGAGCGGGTCGAAGGGAATCAAGTAGGTTAAGGAGGAGGAGGAGGAGGAGGAGGAGGAGAAGGAGTAGGAGGAGGAGGAGGAGGGAAGGTGAATGAGGGACGGTGGATAGGAGGAGGGGCAGGAGACGGATGAGGTGGATGAGCGGGGGTGGTGCTACAGGAGTGGTCGGCTAGTGGTAGTGATCCCCGCAGTAGTACGGGATGGGCCTAAGGAGTGCGATGATGGTTATTAGCACGAAGCCGAGCAACATGAGTAACATCCGCCGCTCTGCGGTTGATCGGGAGTTTCTGTATATATAGAAGAAGGGGCGCGCGCTTCTGGGCGAGAGGGAAACGACCGAGAGAAGAAGGGGCGGCCGCCCCACAGGACCTCTCCATGGTGCCGGAAGCCCATCAGGGCTCCCTCAGGGCCCCTCCCCCAGGGCCGGGGCTCCCTCGCCTGCCCCCTCCCCCTCCTCCTCCTCCTCCTCCTCCTCCTCCTCCTCCTCCTCCTCCTCCTCCTCCTCCTCCTCCTCCTCCTCGCCCCCGTCGGCATATCCAGGCGTGTTATGCAGTCAGGTCGTCCGTCCGGAAACGGTGCCGGAGGCCGCTCTGGGCTCCTCTGGGCATCCCCCCCGGGCCCGTTTTGTGAGGATGTCTCAGGCGAGGGCGCCGGTTTGGGATTCGTCACCGGATCCAGCGGATCCAGCGGATCCGTCCGGAAACGGTGCCGGAGGCCGCTCTGGGCTCCTCTGGGCATCCCCCCCGGGGCCCGTTTTGTGAGGATGTCTCAGGCGAGGGCGCCGGTTTGGGATTCGTCACCGGATCCAGCGGATCCAGCGGATCCAGGGATCCGTCCGGAAACGGTGCCGGAGGCCGCTCTGGGCTCCTCTGGGCATCCCCCCCGGGGCCCGTTTTGTGAGGATGTCTCAGGCGAGGGCGCCGGTTTGGGATTCGTCACCGGATCCAGCGGATCCAGCGGATCCAGCGGATCCGTCCGTCCGGAAACGGTGCCGGAGGCCGCTCTGGGCTCCTCTGGGCATCCCCCCCGGGGCCCGTTTTGTGAGGATGTCTCAGGCGAGGGCGCCGGTTTGGGATTCGTCACCGGATCCAGCGGATCCAGCGGATCCAGCGGATCCGTCCGGAAACGGTGCCGGAGGCCGCTCTGGGCTCCTCTGGGCATCCCCCCCGGGGCCCGTTTTGTGAGGATGTCTCAGGCGAGGGCGCCGGTTTGGGATTCGTCACCGGATCCAGCGGATCCAGCGGATCCAGCGGATCCGCGGATCCGTCCGGAAACGGTGCCGGAGGCCGCTCTGGGCTCCTCTGGGCATCCCCCCCGGGGCCCGTTTTGTGAGGATGTCTCAGGCGAGGGCGCCGGTTTGGGATTCGTCACCGGATCCAGCGGATCCAGCGGATCCGTCCGGAAACGGTGCCGGAGGCCGCTCTGGGCTCCTCTGGGCATCCCCCCCGGGGCCCGTTTTGTGAGGATGTCTCAGGCGAGGGCGCCGGTTTGGGATTCGTCACCGGATCCAGCGGATCCAGCGGATCCAGCGGATCCGTCCGGAAACGGTGCCGGAGGCCGCTCTGGGCTCCTCTGGGCATCCCCCCCGGGGCCCGTTTTGTGAGGATGTCTCAGGCGAGGGCGCCGGTTTGGGATTCGTCACCGGATCCAGCGGATCCAGCGGATCCAGCGGATCCAGCGGATCCGTCCGGAAACGGTGCCGGAGGCCGCTCTGGGCTCGTGCTCTTCGCGCCGGGGGTGAGGATGACGTGAGTTCCACAGAAACTCCCTCAAATAATACTGTTTAGGATGACGATGGTGTGTGGGACAATGATGAGGGTAGTAGGACGCAGATGGGCAGGGGCACGATGAGCCAATGACGATGCGGGAGGAGCGGTGATGGAGGATGACGTACGCGGAAGGGAGGAGGGAGGAGGAGCAGAAGAGGGAACGAGTCGGGACGGGGGGCCTGGTGTGGGAGGGGCGACGAGGGAGGAGGTGGGAGGGGGGGAGGAGACGAGAGGAGGGAGGCAGGCTGGAGGAGGGAGGGGGAGGACGAGGTGATGAGGGAGGGAGACAGGGAGGGAGGAGGGACGAGGGATGAGCGAGGAGGGAGAGGCGAGGACGCACAGGGCAGGAGGGGAAGGCCGAAGGTGGGCGCCGCCCCACGGCGCCGTGCGACGAAGACGCGTGCAGGCGGAGGCCTCGGCAGTCCTCCAAAGGCCTCTACAGGTCCCTGGGAGCCCCAAGTTGCAGGCAACATCCCAAAGCCTCGATCCTCAAGGATCAAGGGTCGAGGAGAGGGAGTAGGAGAAGGAGGAGGAACAGGAGGAGGATGAGGAACAGGAGGAGGAGGAACAGGAGGAGGGGGAGGAGGAGGAGGCGCAGAAATCCGGTTGGATAGATAAGCTGTCGTTCAATCCGCGGGCCGCATATTCCTCGGCCCCTTCCCCAGGGACAGTTTTTCGTCCCTGGCCCACTTGTAATTTACTGACTGCCCCCGGCCCAGAGCCGCCACCCTCTCAGCCATCTCCCCGAGGCTGAAGTGGTGGAACCACGCCAGGGATGTTTGGAACGTCGGTCATCCCGACATTTGGGAGGACCGATGCGGAGCATCGAGGAGGAGGAGAAGACGGTGCTGTGCAGCGGCGTCAATTTCAGAGCGCGCCTCCCTCGAAACTCTTCTGGACCGCGCGGTTCGAACAATTGCCGCCTCGGAGCGTTTCCAACTGCGGCACCGAGGTCTTGGAGACAACTGGAGCGCCGCGTCTCGATCCTCCCCCCTCGAGGCGAAGGAGCCGGATGGGCAGGGGGAGGTCACGGCCCAGACATCCGATTCAGGTTTTTGCGCTCTGCACCGCCTTCCCCCCGAGTGGAATCCTTTATGTCACCCGAGGCCTGAGGAGTGCCCTCAGGAGGCCGACGCATGGACAAACAGCGGCACTGGAAAAAACTCCCCCCCCCCTGGAACGCCCAGACATCCGATGCCCGGATGTTTGCAGAGGTCTGCTTCTGAGAATGAGAAGATGATCGTCAATTGCCAATCCGTTCTTTCAAGACGTTGGATGCCTGGGGTCCTGGCCTTCCCTGGGTGCACCGCCTGCCCACTTGCCAGAATAGGCGCCGTTCCATAATTGCCGATGGCACCGCGGAAGTACGCGAGCGACTCCCTGTTCAACCCGCCCCCGGCAACACGACCAAACATCCGCGCGGCTGGGACAAAACAGCTAACCCGTCCCAAATTTTACGGGGTCGTAACACATGACCAGCCTGGAACACATCCTTATCCCTATGCTGGACATCTCCTCATCACGATGCCGATCTTAGGGATTCCCCTATTTTTTGAGGGCGCATCCCTAAGATTGTCATCGCTTTTTGGCGTGTCAGTCTTAGGGATAGGGATAAGTTCGAGGCCGGTAAACCTGGAGGCAAACGCCCCGCATGGGGGAGAAAACGCTCGGAGGGATCGGCCCACGAATGCAAGAGCTTCTGTGCTTCTCACAAACCGCCCGTTCATTGTCGCGTGCATCAAGTAAAAACCAACGAGGCAAACACATACGCACAGAAGGCAAGGGCGCAGGATCGCTGGCACTGCTGCCGGTTTGTGTCCTGGAGGCAAAATCCTTATTCGGCCCACGAATGCAAGAGTTACTGTGCTTCTCACAAAACGCCCGTCATTGCCACGAGGCAGACACATAAGCACATAAGGCAAGTGTGCAGGACCGCCGGCATTGCCGATGGGCTGTGTCCTGGAGGCAAACGCTCGCATGGGGGGCGAATCGCTGAGACAAATGAGCTCACGAATGGACGATCTGACGTGCTAGTAGCAAGCGCCCTTTCGTCGTCGCATACATGACATCAAGCCAGTTGGGCAAGCACATAAGGCAAGTGCGCAGGACCGCCGGCATTGCCGCCAGGCTGTGTCCTGGAGGCAAACGCCTTGCATGGGGGCAACACACACCAGGACAGATCGGCCCACGAATGCAAGAGCTACCATGCTAGTAATCAACCGCCCGTTGACAGTCGCATGCGTTAAGTGAAAAGCAGCGAGGCAAACACAATAGCACATAAGGCAAGTGTGCAGGACCGCCGGCATTGCCGATGGGCTGTGTCCTGGAGGCAAACGCCTCGCATGGGGGGCGGAATCGCTGAGACAAGTGAGCTGACGAATGCAAGAGCTACCGTGCTAGTAACGAAACGCCCACCCACAGTCGCATGCATCACGTCAATCAAAATAACATCAGAGGGTCTGCAGTTTTGCTTCCCCCCCTGTTTCCTCTGGCGGGGAACAAGCCCGCCCCTCCTCCTCCTGCTCCTTCTCGTCCTCCTCCCCCTCCTCCTCCTCCTCCTCCCCTCCTCCTCCCCCTCCTTCCCCTCTCCTCCTCCACCTCCTCCTGCTCCTCCTCCTCCTTCTGCTCCTGCTCCTCCTTCCTCGTCCACCTCCTGCTCCTGCTCCTCCGCGTGGTGGTTCTCGTCGTCGTCGTCGTCGTCGTCGTCGTCGTCGTCGTCCCGGCGGAGATTTTTTTTATTGTTGGGCGGGACGGATCATGCTTGGAATTTCTTGTTCCCAGGGGGTAATCCACTGTGGGCTACCCATACACGCGAGAGAGAACTTGTGAGCATCTCAGCATGACGTTTGCAAGAGGAATCACTGGTTGCGGTTTTAGTCGCGATTGTAATCGCGATTGTACTCGCGATTGTAGTCGTAATCGTAGCCGTGATTGTTGTCGTAGTCGTAGTCGTTGTCGTAATCGCAATCGTAGTTGTAGTCGTCGTCGTAGTCGTTGTTGTTGTGCGGCGGGTGCCGCGGAGGTATAATTATTCCCCATTGTTGGTGGGACCCCGTTCAGTCAATAAGGGCGCCGAACAGATGTTTAGTCTCCAATTTAAGGGGGGGTCTGAAGACCAATCGCGGTTAGGCAAGTGTATCAGGCAAGTGTTGAATGACCATGAACAAGGAACGCACTTGAGAGAATCGAGGCGAAGCTGTGCAAAGCAATTGTAATCAAATGCCTGATATCCTCCGCGGTAAGAAACGTCTGTTCAAATGTGCAATACTGGGGACGGCCACCCCCATGTACGGCCGTATCAGGGCGCTCCTCTGTGGGGGTATAGATCTCGTGCGAATGCCTCAGATAACGGGGCTCGTAATGCAGGTATGCAGGAGACGGAAAGCGTTGCCCAGGTTCCTGGTGCGTCGAATGATAACCTGCTCGCTCGATATGCTTGTTCTCAATTGGGGTTGGGCAGACCCTTAGTGGGCCCCGGAAACGGCAGGGCCGTTTTTCCACCGTTTCCCCAAAAAATGTCCCTTGAAAATGGAAACGGCAAAAAAACGGCGACCGGAAACGGCCACAAAAACGGCTCCAGGATTGAAACCGGAGCCGGAACCGGTCAAAAAACGGCAATGGAACCGGTGAAAAAACGGCGTCGGAACCGGCAAAAAAACGGCAAAACGGAACCGGTATAAAAACGGCCCTATCGTTTCCAGGGCCCACTAAGGGCAGACCCCGATTTGAAGCTGGACTACCCGTGTCGCCCCCCCCAAAAGCGCAGCCCCAGAAGGCTCGGGGGAGGCTCTCTTCGGAGACCAAAAGGGGTATTCTTGTAGGCGTTCCGTGTGTCCTCCCACGGTTGCCCAACAGGAGCCATGCGCACCATTGGCACGGGGAGGAGAAGGAGGAGGAGGAGGAGGAGGAGGAGGAGGAGGAGGGCAGGTCCAGGAAGGCAAAGAGGCAGAGGAAGGGGAAAATTGGGCAGGGGGCGGGCTGTCCGAAGAGATGCGTTTGGGTGGGAAGGGGGCGGAGGAGGAGGAGGAGGAGGAGGAGGAAGAGGTGGTGGAGGAGGAGGAGGAGGTACATGTGAGTGCGGCGGTGGCGGAAGTGGTAAATCATTGCTCGTCCGTGCCTCCGTCTGTCGTCCACCAGTCGGGGTCCGGGTGCTTGCTGGGAGTGGCTGGAAGCAGCGTCGTAATTACATTCGGGCCGCCGTGCTTGCTCTCGATCGGACGTTTTGCTCGAGAGGCAGCAGGTAGTTCGGGCGTCATCGACAACACGGGGTGACGTGTGCGGCGCGAACGCAGAAACACGGCAGGATGAGAAGGATGACCGAAAGGACGTCATGTCCATCCTCCTCGGTTGCTGGGGCGCGCCGAATGGCCTAGCCTGGGCGTCGGTATGTTGCCCGCCCCGCTCCGGACCTCACCATTCTGCAGGACCCAGCCCGTTCGAGGGGGCCTTTCTAGTTCGAGGAGGAGAAGGAGGAAGCGGATGAGGACGAGGAAAAGGAGGAGGGGGAGGAGGAAACGAAGGAGGAGGAGGAGGAGGAGGAGGAGGAGGAGGAGGAAGACGAGGACGAGGACGGGGACGAGGACGAGGACGAGGACGATAAGGAAAATGAGGAGGGCGAGGAGGAAGCAGAGCAGCAGAGGAGGAGGAGGAGGAGGAGGAGGAGGAGGAGGAGGAGGAGGAGGAGGAGGAGAGAAGGGGGAGGAGGCGGAGGAAGAGCAAGGCGGAGGAGAAGGAGCATTATCAGGGGAGGATGAGGAGAAGGAGGAGGATGAGAAGGAGGAGGAGGAGGAGGAGGAGGAGGAGGTGAATGAGGAAGAAGAGCAGGGGGGTTAGGGGGGAGAGGGAGAACAACAAGGCAACGGAGAGGGAGGAACAACAAAAAGAGGGGGGTCACTGGGGGCGGGCGGGGAAGGAAGCTCATGAGGGGGAGGGGAAGGACACGGAGGGAGAACGACGGGGCGTTTGTGAAGCGCCTGGTGGCGGGCGGGTCCACCCCCCCCCCTTCGCCGCGAGGGAAACGGGGCCCCGAGGGAGCGGAGCCCCTTCCGGGCCCTGGGGCTCCGCCCGAGGCCAGCTCGCTGCTGAAGTGACGGCCCGCGCAGGGCCGGCGAAAGGCGGCCCCCCTCCGGGGCCCGACCAGCCACGGAGCCACCGGCCTGCGGGGACCCCCTCTTGGTGTGGCAGCAGCTCGTGGGGCCCTCGCAGCTCTGTCTTCAGAGTGCGCTGGCGCCGGTCCGCGTCTGTGAATCGGTGAGATGGTGCCGATTTAGGCCGATGAGCTTCGATGAGCGTCGATTCGCGTGGATTTGGCGTCGATTAGCGTCGATTCAGCGTCGACTGGCGTTGATGAGCGTCGATTCGCATGAGCCGGCAAGATGGTGTGGGATAATTCCATGAGTTCTATGTTTCTGCCACGCCGGGCGTTCCAGGAGCCCACATTCCGAACACAGGGTTCTCGCAGATCGACCTGGCTCGAGACGTGCCGCAGAGAAGTGGGCTCCTGGGGGCATTTCATGCGGTCAGGAACGTTGGCTTCGGCCGCGACACGCTATCCGCTTCCTGGTCTTCAGGCTTCCACGTCCATCCTCCCCCCTTCCCGTCTGCGGCTGATGCTTGTGCTGCTCCTCCTCCTCCTCTTGTACACTTCTCGATCCTCTCAGCTTCTTTCTCTTCGTCCTTGCCACCACTCCTGGGTGGGCACAGGGCAGAGAGCCTGGGACCTGTTCTCCGTCCCGAGCCGTTCTCTGACGCCCCCGCAGCCCGGTGAGAGCCCCGAGAGGTCGACGACGAGGCACAGAGGACCCGCCTCGCGCTCGCCGAGACGCGGGATCGTCTGGGACCTCGGGGCTCTCGCTCCCTTCTTCTTCCGGCAGCCGCCCCCCCGCCCCCGTGCGCGGCGCGCGCGGACGGGCCCGCGGAGGCCGGCCGGGAAGCCGGAGTCCCGCCGCGCCGGCGGGGGCTGCTGCTCCGGCGGGGGCGGCTGAGCGCCGCCGCGCCTGCCTCAGGCGGGCGCGGCGCCCTCGTCGTCGTCGTCGTCGTCGTCGTCGCCGCCGTCGTCGTCGTCGTCGTCGTCGTCGTCGTCGTCGTCGTCGTCGTCGTCGTCGTACGTCGTCGTCTTCGTCGTCGTCGTCGTCGTCGTCGTCGTCGTCGGCCTCCCAGGGGGGGTCGGAGGGTCGCACCGCATGGCCGGTGCATCGGCGATGCGGCTCGATGTGGAGCCCGTCTTTTTCTTGACGCCGACGTCGCCGATGCATCGCCCAATCCTCCGATGCATCGCCGATGCATCGGGGGCGTCGTCGTCGTCGCCGCCGCCGTCGTCATCGTCGTCGTCGTCGTCGTCGTCGTCGTCGTCGTCGTCGTCGTCCAGTCTTGAAGCCGGCTGGGGTCTGAGGTTGCCCAGCACTGGCTCTGGCCAGCAGGAAACGGGGGAAGAGGTTCGAGCTTCTGGGTTCGAGAAGGCTTTTTGCCTTGTTCGGCCTCCTGGCCGCGGGGGGCCGTTTTCGGGCCCCGGGACCGTCAAAACCGGATGCGGGGTGAAAAACTTGTGGGTAGATTTGAGGGGATCTGGCGCCACTCTTCTTGTTCGGCCGCGAGCGAGGGGGTGACGTGAGAAGGAGCGGGCCTTCTCAGAAGGCTCGGAAGTCCCAGCCTTCTAAGAACTTTCCTGAGCCTTCCCCAGAAACACAGAAAGCCTCTCAGAAGGCGCAGGGGCTTTGAGAAGTCCCGCCGCCTTCTGAGAAGGCCTTCTCCTTCTCACTTCCCCCCCCTCGCTCGCCGCCAACTTGTTGATCGACTTTTTGGGGCCCCATCTAGTTCAGACCCACGTCCGCCCCCAAGGGCCAGTCCTGAGAGCTGCGCGAATCTTTGCGGCGCACGTGCCGCAAACCGCTTGCGGAGCTCGGGTACCAGGCGGGCGCAGGCCCCCGATTGCGTCGGTTGAAAGGATCGGGGCGGGCGGCTTTTGGCAGCCTTCGGCATCTGGAGGCTCTTGCGCAACGCCCTGGAGCCGTCAACAAAACAGTCCTCTGGGCATCTGAAGCGCCGCCACCAGATTAGTCGGAGGAGAAAAAGATACCCATACCTCTAGCTCCTGGCCGTTTTTCTTTTTCTGGGCCTCCTTGGAGGCCCTCGTCGCCACCGCTGGATTCGCCTCGAAATCCTGATCAGAACGCACCCCGTGAGAGGTCCGGGGGCTAGCGGTATCGGTACCTTTTGGTTTCCCCAATTGGGATCAGCAGCGGTTTGGTGCGCAGATGTGCGCAGCCAGCAGCTTGGTGCGCACGTGTACAGCGAGATGCAGCACGCAAGAGCTGTACTTTTGGGTTTGTGGAATGCTTCCGTCGACAAACACTATCCCTTTGATGTGGCCCGACCCAGGGCTTCAGGGAACAAGGCGACGCGAGACGAGGGCGATCTTCCGTTTCAAGGCGCGCGCGCGATCCGCACCAATGATTCCTCCTGAACGTCGTTGCGCGAAAACTCAGTCGTGCAAGGCGGCCCTCCGTTGCGCTTGCCAGGGTTGGTTACGGATCTACCGATTTTTTCTGTCATTCGAAAGACTCGTTGAGACCCCTTTAAGATGCGCATAACTGCATGAGATCGCCAAGCTTTGGCGCGATCTTAAATTATAGTGGGGCAGATGTTTTCAAGTCTGTGAAATGCACAGCGAAATCCGTGGAAAGCTGTAGCAACACCTTTCTCGGTAAAGGGAGAGCACCAGACAGTTTTACGCATCACACTAACAGACTGCGCATGCAGAAATACACAATAAGGACTCGACGGGGTCGCCTTTATTGCCACATTACCTTGCCACTTTCATGCCCCGGACACCGACTGTCGGGTCATGCCAGGGCCGCACCCGAGCGATGCAAATGTGTCTTTTACGGATGTACCACACCAGCGCTGAGATGATCGAGTTCGCTCGGGGCGCTATCTGGCCGTCGTCGTCTGGCGCAGGCTTATATCAAAAGGTGCATCTCTCTCTCTCTCTCTCTTATTCGCTGTTTCTGCTCGCGACCTAGCACCTTCGTCTCGGCGGCGCAATGTCAGATTAGCTGTCTCATCAACTCGGCGGCACAACCAAGTCAACAGCATGGAGCCTATGCAATTTGAGAGTCCGACTGCCTGTCGATGGATCCATCGGCAGCGGGCTGACGTAGCATCCAGACGCCAAGGTCTTCGCAATAACCTGTCTTGGCGCCGTCTTGGACAGTCAAAGGGCCTCCTGAGGCTGTCTTGGGTCCCACGGGAGGCCCTCGTAGGCCGTCTGGGATGCCTCGTTGGCTCTGGGCCGTCTTTGGACCCTCGTGGGGGCCTCTTGGGCCGTCTTTGGGCCATCGTCGGAGCCTCTTGGGCCGCCTTGAGCCGCCCGCGGGGCGAGAATGCGAACACCATGCAAAACAGGAACAAGGAGCATCTATGATTCTACGACTCTGGCTTCTTCGGGCCCTGTTGGAGGTCCTCTTCGGGCCCTCTGGACTTGTCAGTCCAGGGCACGGCACCTGCTGTTCCACAACCTCGAGCGGCCCCCTGCTCAGTCCGAACCGGCGGGGGAACGGCCTTGTGATCTTGGCCCTCCCCTGCCCGGATGGCATTTCCTCACCCTCCTCGTGAGACAGACCGTGGAAGGGAGAAAAGAGGCACACTTTCTGTCTGATTGTATATGTTTGCCTCTCTCTCTCGCTCTGTGTTTGCCTCTCTCTCTCTCGATTTATCTCTGTCTGTCTCTCTCCCTCTCTCTCTCTTTCCCTCCCTCTGCCTGCCTCTCTTTCTCTCTTTCTCTGTCGCCTGTCGCTCTGCTTCTCTCGCTCTCTCTATTTTTCTCAATATCTCTCTATATCTGTCTTTTTCTGTCTGCTTCTCTCTCTCTCTCTTTTCCTCTCTGTCTTTCTATGTCTCTCTCTCTCTCTCCCTCTTGCCGGTCAGTCGCCCTGCTGAGACGCATATGGTCTTCCTGATCTCAACGCATCCCAAAAGGGACGCCGCTCAAGCGTGTTTCAACTGTAGTCGCCGGCTGGGGCCGCGATTCCGACTCGAAGCGATTCTGTTCGACTCGCCTGCATCGGCCGGGGTCAGCCAGAGCCTTGCGCTGCGATCCGACCTCGATCGGATTCGGGGCGATTCGTTGGCGACCCTGTCTGTTCCTGGCCCGATCCGCCTTTGCGATTCGCTCCCGCTCGGGCCTGCCCGGCCCGCAGGGCCTCATGGGGGCACAGGGATGCCCCGCACATCTCCGGCCTGGCACGCCGCTCGCCACAGAGTGCCCCCCCGGGGTGGGTGACTCAGGGAGTTCCACTGCTTTTCGGGAAGGGCGGGCAGGTAGACCCGTCGGTCGTTGAAAGTAGGCTTTTCGGGATTCCCAGATTCCAGTCTACTTTGAGCGCCTTCCTACTTCACCGATCGAGTGGCTTCACCTCTTTCCGACCTCCCAAGGGGGGCGGACGGAGCCCAATCTATTTTCAGCGCCTTCCTACTTCATGTTTCGACCTACTTCTTCCGACCGACCTGGCATCGCTCGGACGTGTGCATTTTTTCTCGGCGAGGGCCATCGAGGAGCATCCTTGATCATTTGGCGAAAAAGCCACGCACGAAACCGACAGAAAAAACACAGGGAATGGACGTCCGAGCGATGGCCACCCGATGGGTACGGGCCAGAGGCGTGTGGCGAGGGCGTCCGTGAGAGAGTGTGCCCAGGAGGCCTCAGACCCTGGAGGAGCTCCTCATCCGAGGAGGGCGGCGGAGATGGCCATGGCCACTGGGAGTTCCGCCGGCTCCCAGGCCCTGGATTCTTCACCCAGTGTTTCCTTATCCGAGTCGGCCGAGGCCCTCGCCGTGCGTGGTCCGTCATTCCCGCCCGGCTGGCTTTGAGTCGGACGCGTCCTTCTGCATGAGGCATGTTCCCGAATAGTTTGAAGCACAGTCTGGTGACGATTCGTCTTGCTGTGTGGATTCTTGTTCGGTTATCTTTGACCCTTTTTGACGCATCAGTCTTCGAAACCCGCCTGTAGTAGAGCACGCCCGACCTGAGCCTGGCTGAAAGGTGCCCGTTGCAGGCGGGAGTGAGCCTCTGCGGATCTGACGCGACGTTTTGTTCTGGCCGAGCGCTGGCCCTAGTCACACATAGTCACCCCGCTCTGGCATGTGAGTCCACGGGCGACATGTGACAGATGCCCCACAGCGGCCCGAACCAGGAGGAGGAGGACGAGGAGGAGGAGGAGGAGGAGGAGGAGGAGGAGGAGGAGGAGGAGGAGGAGGAGGAGGAGGAGGAGAACGGGACAGTGCTCCGCCGCCCCACAGAGCGGCCCCAGCCAGGATCTTCCTGTCAGGCTTAACCCGCAGGAGGGCCTGGCCCAGTGCTCTTGCGCAGGACCCCCGAGGTCGCCCCAGGGGTCCCCAGGCGGTGGCCGACGCCCGCTCCAAGAGCAGCCCCCCCCCCCCCGCGGCTGCACCGCAGCCCGCGAGGGCCCGGGCTGGCGCCAAGAGCGCCCCCCCCCGACGCCACGAGAGCTGCCACCGCGAGCACTGCACCCCGAGAGGAAGCTCAAGAGGCTCCCAAAACCAGACCCCCTCGAGCGATGCAAACATCACGACGGGAGGTGTTTTACAGCTTTCGGCCTCTGGGGGCCCGGGCCCCGGGACCGTAAAAAAACGACTCGGGATGAAAAAAACGGTCCCGGGGAATAGGTCGAAACCTTTATTTTTAGAAGAAGCTTGACACATTTATTTCAAATGATGTTCAGAATCGGCGCTCCCAGCCAGAAGCACTTGTCACCGCAATGATCCAAGAGGATCCAGCCGCGATCATTTTGATGATCATACTCTACGCGAACAAGCATCGCTACGCGTAGATAGTATTCCCCGGTCAGTGCTTGCACTGTAGGGGTCATAGCGTCCTAGCGGATATTGAAAGATTTGGCGACGGTTCGCCGCCGATTTTGTTAGGTGGCCGGGTTCCCGGGTTCCCAGTTCTGGATTCCCGTTGCTG